GTATGTGCCCGCAACCAAGGTACATACCCTTGACCGGAATCGAACCCTGGACCCCTCAGTCCGCAGGCCGACGCTCTATCCACTGAGCCACACTGGTCAGGGCCATTTTTAAAAAAGAAAAAGAAAATTACATCAGTTATTCAGTTATAAGAGTAAAGTACCAAATCCTGAGGCAGGACCCGGCTGGATCAGAGAGGGGAGTGGTGGGCTCGCCCTCGGAGCTTGGGCGGGGGTGCCGGTCCCAGCGCCGGCTGCCGGCTTCGCAGTCTGATTAGAAAACGCCTGCTGCCGGACGCACGGCCTGCTCCGGGATTGCGATTAATATTTTTAAATTACGGTGCAGGCGGCCGTGCTGTTGTCTGAGTAACGGCGTCTTTACTCTCCTTTGCTTCCATTAGCAGGTTCATTAAAACGCATGTTCACTTCTGCACTCAGCCAACTGCCTGGTTAGAGAGTGTGTAAATTCAAAATGTAATTATGTGGTGAAACTAATTAAAATGTATCGCCCGCCATGGCGGCTCTGAGCCGCGTGGGACCTCTCCAGGCGCAGCGCGGGGCAGGCGCAGGGAGGGCGGTGCCATTCTGCGGGGTAACCCGTGAGGCTTACCTGTCACCCAGCTCTTGGGGAGCTGACGCTGCGCTTTCCAAAGGGTCTGGGGCTTCGAGGACCCCCTTCTTGAGGAGGGGCGCCTGCCGGCTCCCTGTGCTTGAATCCTGGTGCCCTGCCTGTGGCTGCCAGTAACGGATTCACCAAAACCCTGCGCTCCTGGGCCCCACCCATGGAGTCTGAGCTCCTGGCTGGGGCCCCCCGTGTGCCCCCCTCGTGAGATGGCCTTTCAGGGCCCCTTTTCGCGTTGCAGGGGCGCCCTGACCCGAGGCAGAGCCCCCTAGCCCCCGACCCCCGCTAAAAACGGCCGCATTTTCAATCACTGTCCCGTCATTTCGTGCAGCACCTGCTAATGTCTCCAGAAAAATATGTGCCTCTTGGCGAGATAACCCCCCAAACAACCACCGGGCAGGACTTCCTCTGGGCTCCAGCCGTCAGACAGGTTTAGAAAATCGAGGAAAACCTGAGACGTTCCCCAGGTTTTTATGGTAACATTTCAGAAATACCTAGATTCCCCCTTCCCTGCAGATGAGGAAACTGAGGCCGGAGATGTGACGTGACATGTGCAGAGTCAGCTTCCTCATGGGGGTTGGCGATCGGTGACTAAGCCCTTCGTGCTGGAAACAGTCACATTAGAAACAGTTACACTAGAAACAGTTACATTAGCAACAGTTACAATAGAAACAGTTACATTAGCAACAGTTACAGTAGAAACAGTTACATTAGCAACAGTTACAATAGAAACAGTTACATTAGCAACAGTTACAGTAGAAACAGTTACATTAGCAACAGTTACAATAGAAACAGTTACATTAGCAACAGTTACAGTAGAAACAGTTACATTAGCAACAGTTACAATAGAAACAGTTACATTAGCAACAGTTACAGTAGAAACAGTTACATTAGAAACAGTTACAATAGAAACAGTTACATTAGCAACAGTTACAGTAGAAACAGTTACATTAGAAACAGTTACAATAGAAACAGTTACATTAGCAACAGTTACATTAGAAATAGTTACAATAGAAACA